CCCTACTATGAATCCTTTCCTGGCCTTTGGGTCCACCTCTTAACTTAAGTGAATGCTTAAATGCATATGTATGGTGCTTTCCTGAGGGAGATGATTTACTGGGGACATTGGTGATGTTTTATCACCTGTACTTCACAAGAAACGAGATCGGCCGGTTGAAAGGGAATCCCTAGTTTATGGAAGAGGCTGAACAAAAAGTTCAAGAGAACATGTGCCTAAATTTTTTGGTTACAGTTGGCGGGCTGGTTTGGTACCAGTTGCTCCCTTGTGGCCAGGAGTGGAATAACCTTCTTCATGTTTATCCATTGTATAAGTCTGTTATTTTTTATCTGGCCCCCCTCTAGAATGTAACCTCCATGAGAGCAGAGCCTCTCAGTAATGGCTGTCTCCCCAGCTCTAGAACAGTGCCTGGCACACAGTTTGGTTTAACAAGCGTTTGCCAAGTGAGTGAATGAATGAGCGCATCTTGACAAGAAGCAGGGCAGGATTGCTTGACAAGGAACAATCTGCCGTAAAGGCCCAGTATTTGCTTTCCTGGCTTGCTTTATGGTTGATTGCTGGGCTGTAGTCGGATATGCTTACCTGGAATTGGGGTCATACACTGGTGACTCACGGGAGAATCCCTTTTGGAGACTGAAACATTCACACTTGCATCACATTTCCAGGGCAACAGTGCCTCCTGGATGCCCTCTCAGCAGCAGTGTCATTTTTACCAGGGTGGTTTTGTAGCTTGATTTTGGTTTGGAGCCAGCCACCTAGCTACCCTGTTTCTGCCCATTTTCCAGTTCTGCTCATCCAGCTCTCCCATTGATTCTGTGAGATACCAGTATCCTTATAATAAATTACTTCTCTACTTAAGTCATCCAGGGCCAGTCGTTATTTACAGCTAAGAGCTCCAATTAAAACACTCTTTTAAAGCTACCTAGGACACTAACTAATTTCTGCAGATTTAATAAAAACTTGGTGGGGGGTATAAACGTCAACGAACCTTTGCTTCACTTTTGGAAAATTCAGGTGCCCTGCCGCTCTTGCCTCCTAATGCTTTTGTTGACCAAATTAATCAGTTTTTATTTCTAATCCTAGGTCAGAAATATTACTGTATTTTTTCTTGATTCCGCTGAGAACCATAAGATGTATTTTTCATTTGAAATCTTGACTTTTATCTGCTGTGCTTTGTTATAAGTAGTCATGGTATTAATACAGGTTTATTTTCTCGTCTAGGAGTTTCATAATAGAAGAGCAGAGTTTCTTGTTATGTGAAGATCTTCTCTACGGAAGAATGTCATTCAGAGGATTTAATCCTGAGGTTGAGGTATTAAATATAATTGCTTCACATTTAAGATTTTTCCAATTGAATTCTTTCTGCTTATAATTGGGTTTAGGTTTTTCCCCACCAGATACCATTTCTCCTCATTATATAGAAAATAGCAAGTCTTGAACTATTGCCGTAGCTATTTAAAGAAATTATAGGCATTGCAGTCTAGTTTTATGATAGAATTGAGTAGATAATTTAATATAGCAGTATATAGTCCCGGAAAGTGCCACTGTTAAGTGTTAGAATTTTACCTCAGTTCTTTTGCAGGAATGTCAGGATTTTATTCATATGATGCTATTACAAAAAATTATTTTCTGGCATCTATAAATGTATCTTTTCTAGTGGAAAAAATGTTACTTAAAATTTGAGTAATTTGACTTTTTAATGGACAGGTTTTAATCCAAGCTTGTAAATAGATTTTTAAATGAATCTTTGAAAAGTTTGTCTGAAAACGAAATATTCAGCTTATAACTGAGACGTTCATTTTAATTTTCCTGCCTCGGGTTTGTAGAGAAGCACAGACCTTCGTTTAACAAATAACTATTACAACTCTGGCTTATATATTGAAAGCCATCTGTCAGGTACTTGACCAACCAAATGGAGGTTTGTGGTATAAAGCTTTAGTTTTGTAACTATCACTTGAAGCCACGGTTTCTTAGCCCTGGCACTTTTGACAATTGGGGCCAGATTATTCTTTATGGTGGGGGCTTTCCTGTGCACTGTAGGATGTTGAGCAGCATCCCTAGCTTCTACCCTCTACCCACTAGATACATATATACACCCCAGTTGTGACCCCCAAAAATGTGTCCAGACATTGCCAGAGGTCCCTTGGCAAGCAAAATCATACCCGGTTGAAAACCAGTTCTCTCAGGATGCTTATAGGAACCACAGTTAACCAAACTAAATGCCAGAGTTTATTTAAAGATTGTAGGTTGATTTTCTTTCTCTTCCTTTTTTGAGGGGATATGATAATTAAGGTGTTAAATTTACTTTACACAGAATCAACACAAAGTGTTTGTTTTTAATATATTTCCTTGTTTTGGCCTGCTTACGCTTTAGATTAGGAAGACAAAGAGGACAGTGGGGTAAAAGGGAAAAAAAGATAGCAAAGATTATGAGTGGATGATGCCCAGAGACTAGGGTATTGGGCAGGCAAGGACTCCAAAGTATGTCTGATGCAGTGGGAAAAGGAGTTGATCTGGCCCTCCAAATTTGACGTGGGAAGTTATTAGAAAATGACTCTAATCACTGGCACTCTGTAACACTGAATATATTCTCTCTGGGAAAGGTTTTGAACTGTTTGGCTTGCAGGTCTGAGCTGTCATAAATTGTGAGAAAAGTTCAATGTACCTGGTTATAAAAAGAATGATACCAACTTGAGAGTACTTACTTTATTATAAGCAGGATGAACTTAGAACACATTTTTTTATATCTATGTGTTTCTAGTGATAAGAGGTAGTGTACTTTTTTTTTAAGCCTGTCAGAGGACAACTATCAAGAAAAGGTTAATGTGAGAAAAAGAAATGAAGGAGAGACCCATGATGCGTGGACATCATGTAGAAATCAGTGCGTTATCCACCCGCGTGTTCAGGGGTGAGGAAGGTCTCCTAATTATACCAGAGCCAGCCTTCCAGTTCTTCCAGCAGTTTGCTGCTCCCCTTCCTCAACCACCACCAAAAACTACATTTACAATTACTCTTGACTGTAGTGTTTCTCCCATTTGGCTCAAAGTTGGGAAGTTCAAAAGGTATCTGAAAGTTTACTTCTTCTTTCCCCCAGTCACTAGAGTGTGTCAGCAGTGTGCCTGCTTTAGATACAAGTAACTACTAAATTTATGATCTAAAATACATTTAAATTCATTAACAGTAAGTCTAATCTAGTGGAACTTTGTCTTATTATTATTTTAATTCAGAGCTGGCTTCTATCTGCTTATTGTAGAATAAAGTATTATAGAGAATCCCTTATAAATTTTGGTTAGTCCTGTAGATTCTGTGGCTTCTGTGTCTCTACCTTCAAATACGTTTGACACCAGTTCCTTTAACAAGCTTTTTCCAGCCCTGCTAGTCCCCATTGTTGTATTTTTCAGAAATTAATGCTTCAGATGAATGCTAAGAACAAAGCAGAGGAAGTTGAAGAGGAAACAGTGGAGCTCGATGTGTCAGATGAAGAAATGGCTAGAAGGTAACTATTACCTTGGACCAGCTTTATAATCTGAGCCCAGCATTCACTGTCTCTCACATGTGCACTCTTTCCGCATGGTGACTGGACTACCGTACCTTTGAAGGGAGTACCCCAGCAGGGAGTCATCTTGGCTTAGTCATCTTCTAACATGGCCTGGGGTGGATTTATACCTGTCACAGGCTGGCAAATTGAGGGCTTATTTCTAGTGCTGCTTCTAATACATATTTTAAAATATACATCTCAGTTTATTTAGGATAATGGAAAACCAAAACCAAAAACAGTGAAGAATTTAATCGTTCATAGAGAAGTTCATAAATTTTAAATCAGATGGTTTCTTTTAATCAAAGTTTTGATTTTTCTTATTCTTTGTTACGTACTTGGTTTGATATTCTTGACAAGTCTTGATTCCTACCTTTTTTATTTGAAACTAAACTTGTTGTGTATATCATCTTAACAGATACGAGACCTTGGTGGGGACAATTGGGAAAAAGTTTGCCAAAAAAAGAGACCGTGCCAATTATGAAGAAGATGAAAATGGAGACATAAAACCAGTTAAAACAAAGAAGATGTTCTTAAAACCCCAAGATTAAAACTGATGGCTTAAGATATGGCTCAGGGATGCCTTGTGAGAATTAGCACATTTTGGAACTCATTCTGTTGGTTCCTCTATAGTTATTAATGCTGTAATGTTTATTTGTAAAGAAATGTATAACTTTGGAAACATGCTGTTTTTGGAACAGATGTGTGTTGGATGTTATACATCCTTTGCTTAATGGTATTCATCAAGAGTGGATTTTTAACCCTTGATCTTCAACTGTACATAGGTACGTGGTTGCTTCGTAAAAAATTTTTTATGTCAGATTTTTTTAATATAGTTCTCCAGTCACTGACCTTGAATTGACTCATGTAAACTGATACCAGTGTTTAAATTGCCCTTATGTTTATAATCATGTCAAGTCAGTTCATACATATACTTCGGAATCAAATGTCATGAGAATTTATTATATGTAAATTCATCAAGAACAAACATGCCTCTCCAGGCTGAAATATTTCCATGCTACCAAGTCAATGTCAGTGTGTGGAGTTATGTTTTTTTGTTTAAAGCCTTTAATTAATTAAGAAAAAAAATTGTTCTGTAATAAATACCTGTTTTCATGTACTTTTTCATTCTCTTATACTTTCAAATAATAATTTTAGTCTAATTCAGTATTGGAGCTTTTGTCCAATTAGTAACTTTTAAAAAACAGCCATTAATTTAGAATATGGTGATGTATTAGGTTGAACCGTAAGAAATTGCCTTGGGCCTCCCTGGTGGCACAGTGGTTGAGAGTCCACGTGCCGATGCAGGGGACACGGGTTCGTGCCCCGGTCCGGGAAGATCCCACATGCCGCGGAGCGGCTGGGCCCGTGAGCAATGGCCGCTGAGCCTGCGCGTCCGGAGCCTGTGCTCCGCAAAGGGAGAGGCCACAAAAAGTGGAGGCCCCCGTACCAAAAAAAAAAAAAAAAAAAAAAGAAATTGCCTTTCATGGGTCAAAAACAATTATCGATTTTTGATAGTTCAGCCCAGTAGAATTTACCGCCAAGCAGACCATCTCCTAATCTGAACCTTATTCTAAGTAGTAAATACAGAAGCCCATGGAATTAAGCGTGTAGGTGTGTCTGTCCGTCTGGAGATATGTACCTAGGACATCTAAGAAATACTGATTTCATCTAATTATGTTCCCAGCAATTAAATGAGGTGCATTTCTCCTCTCTCTCTGAATCTCCTTAGATTCAGATTGCTCTGTGACCTCAGTTCTCTGGTGAGTTATGAAGAGGTTGTGACTTTGAAGTTAATCTGACTCTAATTCATTGTGAAGGTGAGGACAGTGCACCTTCTGGCTCCCTACATCCTGGGGCAGAAGCTCGAAGTTTTTCACAGTGCTTCGCTGGCACCACAATCCATGGATTTGTGGAATCCCTCAAGATATTCTGCACAGCCTTACTTCCAATAGCTGAACCCATTTCCCAATAGAAGAAGTGGAGCAGTGGGCTTGTGCCTCTGGAATTCACTGGTCTTAGCACATACCCCAACACCCAGGAGCAGTGGGTGTAATAGGATGGTGGAATGGTCTACTGAAGACTCAGTCATGGCCCTAGGTGGGGTACAACACTCCATCTTACAAAATGTAATTTATGTTTTGAACCACTGACCTCTCATATGGGGCTGTCGCTCTCATCATGGTCAGAATGTATGGTCTGGGATCAACAGAGGCAGAGGGAGTGGCTCCTCTCACTGTTACACCCAATAACCCACTTAGGCATTTTGCTTCCTGTCCCTCAATTTTGACCTCCATTGTTTGGAGATCTGGGTTCCCAAGGAAGGTGTGCTCCCACCAGGGAGGACAACAGTGGTCCCATTAAGACAGAAATTGAAACAATCTGGTCATTTTACCAGTAAATCAGTGGGCAAAGAAGTTTACTCTCCTGGCTGGTGCATGTGATCTTGGGAACAAAGGGACATGTGTTTTGTTCCTACACAATGGGTGATGAAGAATGCCCAGAGCATTCTCCAGGGCATCTTTCTTAGCACTTCCCTGTCCAATGACAAATTTTAATGAAAAACTACAACCTCAGAGGTGGGAACTATTTCAACCCTTTAGGTTATGAAGTCTTGGGTCACCCTAGCAGGCGTCAACCCTGATCAGTTGAAATGCTGGCTGAGGAAAGAGGAAACATGGAGTGTGTAGGGAAAGAATGAAGTTTATTAACTTGCGACCCTTACAGCCTTGCGACCAATTACAGGAACAAATTACGGAGCAGCTTCACATCTTTTCTTCCTTGGTGTGTGTGTGTACTAACTTCTTTCTCCTCTGTCCTCTTATTATTGTGTACATTTTTTTAAAGAGGGTTAACTTTGCTCCTAGCCTTGAGATAATAGAATATTCAGATGGGTCTATGACTAAAGTCCAGGTGTAACTGACAGGAGATAAGATGAATAGTGTAACTGTTTCCCAGAAACGGATAAAATGTCTGCTGGGATTTTGGAGAACGAGTGAGAACATCTTTTGTACAAAGGATGTTTGCAATTTGTTAGGTAGAAATGGAGTTTTTCTTCTGGGAAGTTTAATCACGTTTAGAAGTGTGTGTGCGTGCATGTGTTCACACGCACGTGTATGCTGAATGGCCCAAGAGACAGACTGTTGCAAATATTAACCTGTTGTTTCTCAGATTCAAACACTCTTCTATACTCAGCTTCTGATGCTGGGCTGGCACTAGGCAAACCCCGTTTCTCATTCGCCAGCTGCCTCCTTACTAGGATCAGCCGATGGAGCCCAGAAGGAGACAGCAAAGCTAGAGGGGGAAGAAAGGGCTTGGCCCTTCCTGTCTGCTTCCTCTTCCTTTGCCCACCCCCCACCCCCCCAAACAATACCTCTTCGCCCCAGCAAAGGATGGCGTTCCAGCCACAGTTGTTGATAACACTTGGTGTCCCTCAGATGTCTGCCTGGTACCCTGGCCCACAGGGCCCCCCACTCAGCTCAGAGACACTGGTTTTACGTGAGCAGCAGCTTTTTTAAGTTGTTCTTGTTTTTTTTTTAATGTGGACCATTTTTGAAGCCTTTATTGAATTTATTACAGTGTTGCTTTTGTTTTCTGTTTTGGTTTTTTGGCCTCAAAGCATGTGGGATCTCAGCTCCCCACTAGGGATCAAACCCGCACCCCCTGAACTGGAAGGCGAAGTCTTAACCACTGGACCGCCAGGCGAGACCCTGAGCAGCAACTTCTTGTCAGAGGTCTTGAATTTCAGCTCTCCAGGGCCCTCCAAGCTTCTAAAATTGAACAATTTCAGCCTCTTCCCTAAGAGTGGCAGCTTCCTGCATGATAACCTTAAACGTTCTCTTTTTGCCTTTTTAGCTTTTTAGTACCCCATTAACAATTTTTTATATTAGATTTCCCCTGTTAAAATAAGGATGGCTTTTATCTCCTGACTAGATTTTGACAGATACAGACTCATCCTACAGCAGTAATATCTGAAATCATGGGCTCGGTACGGCTTGAAACCCTGCTTTTTCTAATCTGCATTCAAGTTTACAACTATTAAAGTAAAGGCGTTCAACCCTTTCCACTTCCTGGAAGTTATCTCGTGTAACCAGAAGTTAGCAGACCACTTTTTGGAGAACACTGCCCAGCACAGTAATGCCCATCGGCTTGGTTGCTGAGTCATTCATGTTCATCCCCTTAGTTGTCAAGCTACTTACTGTCCTCTAGGGCAGGAACTATATCTTACCTTTTTTTTATTTACTCCTGCACCTAGCAAGGGATATTGCTCATATTAAAGGCTTTGATAAATGTTTCTTAAGTGAATGGATTTGGGAACCAATTGACCTACAGAGCATGTTTAAACCACACTGCTATGGAAGTAATGACCAACCAAATGAGAAAAAACAAAGACTTTTTTCTGAGCTTGCTGTATAGCTAGGGAGTCAGCCACCATCACTTGTGCCTTAGCAGACTCAGGCAGGCAGGCAGACAGTGGGAAAGCTTTACAGTGGGAAAAAGGGAAGGGTTAGGCGTGCCTTGATTGGAGGCTGTTGGGCATGGGAAAGTTATAGGCGGCCAACTAACAGCAGGGCATCCTAAGTCATTGGTTAGGGTCTTGTATTTTACTTTCTCTAGTTGGTCCCAAATTGGAAATAGGGAGAAAAATTAAGCAAGTTGTCAGTTATTAACCAAGTCCTGACCATTTGGGGCTGATTGTTACAAAGTTATTTTTTAGCTTCCTGGATTGTCCCTGGAGATAGCCATCTGACTTCCTGCCAAGTCTGGCTTGTAGCAGGCTGGCTTCCTGAGTTGTTTATTATGAAGGTTTGATTCCTTGGGCAGGTTGCTGCAGGTTATGAATCAAAATTCTGTTTTTATATGTGGTCTGGCCATTGTCCATTTGTGTATTCGGTCTCAAAATGCTCAGGTTTATTTCTAATCGTACTATAAAATACAACCATTTGATCATGTCTCTGAGGAAGGCTGCACCCAATTTAAGAAGAGGATGCCACCAGTGGGATCAGGGATGTTTGTGCTCCAGCCATTAAGGGAGCTGTCTGTGCTGGAAGCAGACCCTTCAGTGGTTAATGCCACAGAGACAAAGCCACCAAATCAGGCGACTGCAACTTTTTGCCCTCCCAGATCTTGGGGAAGAAAACTGAATACCACTGGCTAATGGATACAAAATTCAATTTAAAAGATAATCATCATTTCACTCATATACAACCAGCCATTCGCCAACATTCAAGTTGGTTGACGAACTTTATCAAAGTGGGCTATTTGGGGAGGGAGAGAAGATATAGCTATAATAGTAATTGCAAGAAAATCTCCAGAGAACTTCCCGTGTATAATGTCTTTTATGAAGATACCAGTTTCTCCACTTGCCTACCAAAACACTCGTACATTTTCCCAATCCTGGCTTCAGAGAACACGTAGGTGCCTTATCATTTGAGTCCAAGGTGTATTGGCAGCTTCTTAAAAGAGAGTCTGTGGTCTGACTTCCCCTCTCCCTGTAGGCATAGCCTTCCATAAGCAGTTTACTAAAATTATTTGGTGTCTCTGTAAGTTTTTATAGAGCTATAAGCTTCTCACTACACGGTAAGTTCTAATTTTAATTTTAATCATTATGAAAGTCAATCCATAAATGGGCCCTGTTTAGCCCTCTTTGGACAAAGAAACTATTTACACAGAGAGGATACTACTTTCCAAGCCAGCAGCTCAATTTTATATCCTGGAGTTTCCCTCCAACATATTTAGCTTGTTTTCCATGTGGCCCTGTGTTTTCACTTGCCCCAGGAAAAAAGATGCAAAATCACACTGTTCTCCATAAGACGTATTTAATCTGGTTGCTGTCCCTTGCTAATTTCTCTTCCATCCGCATTGTCTGGATGGGAGAAAAGCCTGTCTGCCCATGAGTAGCAGGGGCAATCGTGTGTTGTTGCAAAATTGCAGCAGGATCAAACAAGACCATCAGGTAATGAAGATGACAACCTGACAAATATTGGCAGATTACGATTCCCGGCGACTTGTCTTTCTCCTCTCCCACTCATGGCAAGCTCTCACACCCACGTCCCCATCTCCGACCTCTGCTCTGATCATTGTTCCTGATGTCGCTTTACCACTTATGACACCCACGTCAAGTGGATGGGTCCTTGAACCTTTGCTACTCCTACTTCAGATTCTCATTTAACCTCATTGGGATGGGAGCAACTTAAAAATGGATAATAACAAGTGTGCTGTTTGAGCCATAGACCAGATTCTGGAGTCCATGGTAACAGAAAACCTGAGCTACGTCAGGAGTACAAAGCAGAAACCCACACTTGATCATCAGAAACCCTAGCAGGTATTTAACCAAGAAGGGAGCTGGTAATGGAGGACCCAGATGTTACTTGGAGGAAAATGAAGCAAGGTAGAAGCAGTTACTCATACCACTGCAACAGGCATGCGAAGATTTGTCATTAAATGTCAGCCAAGTGCCGGGAATATTTCTGATATTATTCGACTGTTTGTTTGTTAAACAAATGTTGAGTTCTGACGCTCAGCCAGCCACTGACTTGTGGACTGGAGATATAAGTTATTGCCTCCATTTTATCCATGAAGAAACTGAGGTACAAAGACATTCTGTAACTCACCTGATGTCACACAGCTTTTAAGTGATAGAGCAGTATATGAGCCCAGATTTACTGAACTCAAAGCCCACACTCTTTCTCTCGTGTCACACTACAGGGGAAAGCAAAAGACTAGAATTGGGAAACAGGCATAAAACAACCTAGCCCCATAAGACCCTAATTGTTCCCAAACAGAATCTCACAGAATTATATTGTACTACCTGGTATTTTTTTAATATTTCCTTTTTTCTAAATTTACTTTTTCAGATGGTATGGGTTAAATTCACATTAATAATCTGTTTTCAACATAAACGATTAATTTCATAAATAGGGTATTCTCTATATTAGCGATCCCGTATTAAGAAAGATTTCACATGTCAATCTATGGTAACAAAAAAATTGGAAAAGCAATTATTTGATGAGTGCTCACTTGGAGTATAACTGTGTCATCACATATTCATTTAGGTCATATTCTATGATATATTACCTAATTTCAAAGCAGGGATTATGCCTCACTGTTCTTTGGTTCCAAACCAAGTCCCTCATGTAGGGCTTTGTAAAGAAGTAGGTATTTAAAGATAATAGTGAATTGAATGGGAAAAAAAATTTTTTTCTGTTTACCTAGCCTCACATAAATGTTTTTAGTGACTCTCTGTGAATTTATTTGATAAATATTGGCTCCTCAGAGATTTTGCATACTTCACTGTTTTGTGAGAATATTCTATCTGCAGGCATATATTCACAAATTCAAAGTCTTTAGTTGAAGTTTCAAGAGTAATGGAGTAGAATTTCAGTACCTTCCCCAGGAGGTTAGAATTATAAAATTCTTAGTTTGGGATTTACTTCTCCCTTCTGATTTATTCCAGGCACCAGATTCTACTCTCTTTGTCAAACAGAATATGCAAGGCATCTGAGGCTGATTCTTCCCAGAAATTAACTCCAGGGCCCACCCCATCTGGTAAGATCTGGCTGGGGAAATTCCCAGGTAGAAAGTTACAAGCAACAAATGGCTTCTTCTGGCTGCCTATGGTAAAATAGGTAAATATGGTTTTAAAAAGCCAGAGAGATGAACTACAGAAGGAACTGTTTAGTTTTGTAGCAGAATTTAGAGGAAATGTGAGGGACAAGGGTCGTCTTTCTAGCAAGCAAAAGGTCCTCAAAGTAAGAAAACGCAAAGATCAAATCTGGAGTGTTGTCAATAAAATTTGGTCTTAGAATAATTTTCAGGTAAATCGTCAAAGTCAAGGATGCAGCTGTAGACCATTTTCTGATTTTGAGATGTCAGATTTAAAGGTATGTCTCCTAGATCTTCTTTGTTATGTAAGAGAGATTCCAAGAATCTTAAGGGGGGGCACTTTGTTATGCAGCAATACCTAATGAAAATACCAACTTTAAAACGTTTGCCAATCTTATCTGTACAAGGCGTGGCACTTTGTTTCTTTCATCTGCATTTCCCCGGCTGCTAGTGAGTTCGGGAATCTTTTTTTTTAATTATTATTTATTTATTTAGGCTGCTCCGGGTTTTAGTTGTGGCACACAGGATCTTTAATTGAGGCATGCGGACCCTTAGTTGCAGCATTCATGCAGGATCTAGGTCCCTGACCAGGGGTCGAACCCGGGCCTCCTGCATTGGGAGCGCGGAGTCTTACCCACTGGACCATCAGGGAAGTCCTGGAAATCTTTTTTTTTTTTAATTGAATTACAGTTGATTTACAACGTTGTGTTAGTTTCAGGTGTAGAGAAAAGTGATTCAATTATATATATTTTATATATATATCAATATATATATTCTTTTTCATTATAGGTTATTACAAGATATTGAATGTAGTTGCCTGTGCTATACGGTAGGTTCTTGTTGTTTATCTGTTTTATATATAGTAGTATGCATCTGCTAATCCCTAACTCCTAATTTATCCTTCCCCCCACCCCTTTCCCCTTTGGTAGCCATAAGTATTTTTCCTATGTCTGTGAGTCTATTTCTGTTTTGTAAATAAGTTCATTTGTATCGTTTTTTTAGATTCCACGTGTAAGTGTTATCATATGTTATTTGTCTTTCTCTGTCTGACTTACTTCACTTAGTATGATAATCTCTAGGTCAGCAGTCCCAAACCTTTTTGGTACCAGGGACTGGTTGTGTGGAAGACAGTTTTTCCAGGGATGGGAGGGGGGATGGTTCAGGCAGTAATAGGAGCAATGGTTCAGGCAGTAATGCGAGTGATCAGGAACGATGGGGAGCAGATGAAGCTTCGCTCGCTCGCCTGCGGCTCACCTCCTGCTGTGTGGCCCTGTTCCTAACAGGCCGTGGACCAGTACCGGTCCTCGGCCTAGGGGTTGGGGACCCCTGTTCTAGGTCCATCCATGTTGCTGCAAATGGCATTAGTTCATTCTTTTTTATGGCTCGGTAGTATTCCGTTGTATATAGATACCATATCTTCTTTATCCATTCATTTGTCGATGGACATTTAGGTTGCTTCTCTATCTTGGCTATTGTAAATAGCGCTGCCATACATGCATTGGGGTGCATGTATCTTTTCAAATTAGAGTTTTCATGTTTTCTGGATATATGCCCAGGAGTGGGATTGCTGGGTCATATGGTAATTCTATTTTTAGTTTTTTAAGGAACCTCCACACTGTTCTCAATAGTAGCTGTATCAATTTACATTCCCACCAACAGTGTGAGAGGGTTGGGAATCTTTTCTTGAATCCCTGTGAATACCTCCTACCACTGTAAATTGGATAATAAGGTTTGGAAAGGGAAAAAACATGTTTCTCCGAATTAGCCAGGAGAAATCAACTCTGTGGGATAAACTGCAGTGCAGGTATTGCTGAAGAGAAATTTGAAGGGAAGCAAATAATCCCAGAATGTTAGGTTGCTGGCTGGCCAGTTATTACGCAGGATGGTAGTTATTGCACATGCTTGTGGTAAGACTGTAGCTGATTTCAGAACTGTTCAACAGATTATGGCCTCTATGCCCTTGATTCTGGGAAAGCTGGCATCTGGATTCTTAGACATTACAACCCATATGGCCAAATGTACAATTCTGAGGTGAATTCTATCCTCTGTATAAAGTAGCAGAAGACCTAGAGCTTCCAGCAGGAATCGAGTAGGAAACCACGGGGCCAGAAGGCTCGCTGGTGAAAGAAAGTGAGGCTGAAACACGTGTCCTCATGGTGAGGCAGACAGCTGGGTGGCGGCAGAGGGTTTCAAAACACCCTCCAGCATCCATGGATTGACAGTCAGTAATTTTCAAATCAGAAACGCTGTGTTTCCAAGTGTTTATAGCTGGGAGCAGAAGAGCAAAACTAAGAAATGCCTGAAGTCTCCCTGAGCTTACTTCTCCCAGATGAAGAGATTACAAAAAAATGAGAAATAGATGCCAGTGATTCCAAAGTTGTGAGGAAGTAATAATTATGAAGCTAAGAAAAGCCGTCTCGTGAATGTGAATTATGCGTGTTGGAAGCTTATTGGCTTTAATACTTAAAAGTGTTAGAACTAGTACTGTCTTATTCCAAAAATTCTAATTCGTATTAAATCAACTCTGAATGTAAAAAATCGAATATAAATTCACTCTTCATTTCCTTGATGAGGAATAAATACTTTCTTCCTTAGGAAGAAAATGAAGAGGTGGAGGAAGTATGGAAAGCTGTTTCTTCACTGAACTTCCCTGAGAAGGGGCCAAGGAAGAGATTGGCTTCAAGCTGAAGATTTTAAAAGTAACTCTTTTTAAAGGTCAGGTCATTTTATGTGTCTCTTTTATTTTGACACTCTATCAACTGGTAAAAGGAATTTCTGTTTTTAGTCAACGCTGAGGTATAATGTGTATGTGATAAGATGCACCCATTTTAAATCTATGGTTTGATGACTTTTGACAAAAGTATTCACCTGGGTAACCATCACCACAATGGAGATGTAGACTGCTTCCATCCACCCTAGAAATTCCCTCATTCCTCCCTGTGGTCAATTCCTGATCTCCTGTCTTAGGCAACCACTGATCTGTTTCTGCCACATTATGTTAGTTTTGCCTGTTCTAAAATTTCATATAAGTGGAATCTTATAGTACATATTTTTTTGTACCCAGGTTCTTTTGCTCAGCATAATGTTTTGAGATTTATCCATGTTGTTTGCATGTTTCCTGCACTTCCAAAATAAACTGCTTGCACTTGAACCTTCATTTCAGGGTCTGCTTCTGGGGGAACCCAAATGGAGACAGCAACTCTGAGTCAGACTTTGGAACAATTGTTATTGACAATGTATGGGTAGATTGGCAGGCAGACAGATAGATGATAGATAGGTAGATAGATAGATAGATAATACATAAAATCAAGAAAAGGATGATTGGAAAGGAGAAGGATCACAGACTTTTATCTAGAAAATTTGTATTGATTACATTCATATTTCTTACTGAATGTTTAAAAATGGCAAATTTCTTTCAAAGATTTTTATTACGGAATTTCAAATCTATACAAAAAAGTAGACTGAATAGTATCATAAGTTTCCATGTACCCATTTTCCAGCTTCAACAACTTACTTACAGCCATCTTGTTACATTTATACTTCCATCCACTTACCCCACTCTATATTATTTTGAATGAAATATCATGTCATACCATTTCATCTGAAAATATTTTAGTATATATGTCTAAAAGATAAGGGCTTTTAAAATAACTATTATCACGTGTGAAGTAACATTTTCTTAATATCATAAAATATCCAATTCAACTATCTAACAAATGTCATATTTTTTTTTTTACGGTTTGCTTAATTCAAGATCCAAATAAGTTCTCCACATAATCACTCATTGATATTTCTCTCAAGTGTCTTTTAATCTATAGTTTCCCTACTCCATCTCACTCTTTTTCTTGCACTGCATTTATTAAATAATTACTTGATATATTTTAATTTACTAAGATTTGGCTAAAACTAATGCAAATTACATTTTTGCTTCCTTTGAGTCATGCAATTCATAACCCAGTACTAGTCCAGTTCTTTACCATGATTTCTTCTTTTCTGCAGACTAATGTTGGAAACTTTTATTTATATTTTGGAAGGCATTCTCAAAATGTAAATGCTTGGAGGCTGTGGAAACAGCCATATGTATATGAAAGTAAAATCAGGAGCTCTCAGAAGCTAGATAAGTAAAGAGAATGAGAAAGCCAGCAATAAATGCCAAATTACTTTTTAAATCTCGAAATCAATCATGTCACTTTCTCTACTTAAAATGTTTCTATGGTTTTCCACCACACTGGGAATAAATTCAAGACTCCTTACCCTGGCCCTGTGTGGTTCAGACCTGCCTTTGTAATCTCACCTTACTAGCTCTCAGTCTCTTATGACCATACAATCAGACGGCCTTCTCTCCAAACCTCTCTCCTCAGTAGGGTTTGTACACTTGCTTTGTCCTCTGTCTCGGTAGTGCTTGTTCCTGAGTGTAAACAAGTCTGCCCAAGATGGAGGACTAAACAGATACAGACGACTACGCCCCAAGTTTAAAAACATATAGCCAAACCTGAAATCAAAAGACAAAATGTTCCTGTGGCCACCAGAGGAACTTAGCCCCAGTAACAAGCAGAAATCAGAACCGTGTGGCCCGGGAATGCAAAATGGTGCAGCCACTTCGGAAAACAATTCGGCAGTTTCTTACAAAACTAAAACACATTCTTACCATCTGATCCAGCAATCACGCTCCTTGGTATTTACCCAAGGGTGTTGAAAATATGTCCACACAAAAACCTGCACACAGATGTTTACGGCAGCTTTATTCATAATTCCCCAAACTTGGCAGCAACCAAGATGTCCTTCAGTAGATGAAGGGATAAATAAACTGGTCCATCCAGACAATGGAATGTTATTCAGTGCTAAGAAGAAATGAGCTATCAAGCCATGAAGAGATAGGGAGGAAACGTAAATGTACGTTACTGTGTGAAAGAAATCAATCTGAAAAGGCTACATACTGGATGATTCCAATTCTGTGACATTCTGGGAAAGGCAAAACTATGGAGACAGTCCAAAGATCAGTGGTTGCCAGGGGAGGGAGGAAGGGTGGATGAATAGGCAGGGCACAGAGGATTTTTCGGGCCGTGAAACTATCTGTACGTTACTACAGTGGTGGATACATGTCATTACACACTTATCCAAACCCGTAGAATGTATGACGTCAGTAAAACCTGAGGCAAATTCTGTACTTTGGGTGATTATGACGAGTCAACGTAGGTTCATCATTTGTAACAAATGTACCACTGTGGTGGGGGATATGGATAGTGGGGGAGGCTATGTATGTGTGGGGACAGTGGTTATATTACAAATCTCTGTACTCTCCCCTGAACTTTGCTATGAACCTAAAACTTCTTTCTAAAAAATTGTCTTAAAAAAAAGAAGAAAACAGCTGTGTGACTCATGTGAGGCTGTCTATAAGATAAATCCTTTGGGAACTAGACCTTGAACTCATGCCCAGAAATGGAATCACTCGTGATGATAACTCATTTGAGCATAGAACTCTGGATTGAAATTCATTTTCAGAAACGCAGAGATCAAGAGCTATTATTCTTCACAGACCCTCCCTGAAAAAAGTATTAAAAAATGGAACTAGGAAAATAAAGACAAATGTTGTGTCATGTAAGAAGAATTAGTGAGGACAGAAATCAGCAAAAATTGATTGGACAGCCTACGTGTGCATTGATTGTAAGTTGTGTAATTATTTAAAATTTTTAAATATGCATTGATTGTAAATAGTCTAATTATCTGGTTTAAAAAATAACACCCGGGGCTTCCCTGGTGGCACAGTGGTTAAGAATCCGCCTGCCAATGCAGGGGACACGGGTTCAATCCCTGGTCCTGGAAGATTCCATATGCCGTGGAGCAACTAAGCCCGTGTGCCACAACTACTGAGCCTGTGCTCTAGAGCCCGCAAGCGACAACTACTAAGCCCACGTGCCACAACTGCTGAAGCCTGCACACCTAGAGCCTGTGCTCCGCAACAAGAGAAGCCACAGCAGTGAGAAGCCCGTGCACCGCAACGAAGAGTAGCCCCCGCTCACCGCAACTAGAGAAAGACCGTGCGCAGCAACAAAGACCCAATGCAGCCAAAAATAAATAAATAAATATATTAGAAAAAACCCTTAAGTGTACCTGTTAAAATTTTGAGTAACCACCAAAGGAATTGAAGTAGAATATAGTCAAGTTGAAAAAAGGAGGTCAAAAATAAAAGACAGAAAAAGAGGGGGAGAAAAGAAAAAGCACATGGTATTGGCATAAGATAGACAAATATATCAATGGAATAGAGGAGAATCCAGAAATAGACCCATAACTGTATGACCGGTAAATTTTTTACGAAGTATGACAGCAACTCAGTGAGGAAGGTAAAGTCTTTTCAACAAATGGTTCAGGAACACCTGGATGTCTGTATGGACGAAAGTGAACCTTGATCTCTACTCCCACCAGCGTGGGCTACACAGCTCTATTCATTTCTCAAAACTCTTTGAGCCATGTGCTTAAGGGGCGTGTGTGTGTGTGTGTGTGTGTCTCTCATACATGAAATAATACTCAATTTTAAAAATCTCTATTTGAAATGATTATGTCCACTAATTCCTCTCAACCTTTGCTCTTAGCCTAAATGTAACCTTCTCAGAGAGGTCCTCCATTACCACTCTAGACCTTCAGCCCCTTCAGCATTCTGGATTGTACTGACTTCAACCTGAGAAAGATAGAATGTTATCCAGCCAAGATTCCTCATCCCCCTGCTCTACAACCGACCTCCGTCCCCCCCGCCCCCCGCTTACCCTCTCTTCTTTTTCTTGTTGCGCCCCTTCCCCTATATGTTTGCTCCATTCCCTCCCACCACCTCCAGCCTCTGCTCCACCCATCATCTCCTTGCTTTCCCATCCCAGTCTCCTCATCTTCTTCCCCTAGAAATGCTTTCCAGGCTGCCTCCTCCAAGATGTTGAGGATCACAAAGTAAGGGGTAATAACAACACACCTGATTGTTAGTTTGGACTTTGAAACCCCAAACTTGCCCTGCCTTCTGGGTGTCCTATCAGAGTCTCTGTGATTTTTCGGTACCTGTTCAGGATCCAGAATCATTTCTGGTGCCCCTAAAACTGAAGGCTTCGCCAGGGAAGTGGAATTGAAGCTGGATTACTACCTTTTGTTCTCTGATTGCTACTTGCTCATCCCCTTGGGTCTGATGCTAACTCTGTCCTTGCAAGGTGCATTTTTTTTTTTTTTTTTTTGCGGTACGCGGGCCTCTCACTGCTGTGGCCTCTCCCGTTGCGGAGCACAGGCTCCAGACGCGCAGGCTCAGCGGCCATGGCTCACGGGCCCAGCCGCTCCGCGGCATGTGGGATCTTCCCGGACCAGGGCACGAACCCATGTCCCCTGCATCGGCAGGCGGACTCTCAACCACTGCACCACCAGGGAAGCCCCCAAGGTGCATATTTTAAGGAGGGATGATAGAAACTGTCCTTGGACATCATAAAGCTCAGCAAGGCTGACATGCACGGTTACACAGGTTGTACATTTCACAGCACATCCTGCTAAGGCAGTAAGAGGGACCTGAAACCCAGCCTTCACTCCCCTTAACAAGCCATACATCCTTGGGACTGTGTCTGTCTAGTGGACAATTAGTAAAATTGTGTACTAATTTGCAAAAGGTACTAAAGAGTCTAGCATCCACCCTGAAACTTAGCCTGGGGAAGACAGGAAGGGAACTGACTTTGGCTGAATTCAGAAGCCCTGCAGCCATTCAGGGCCCTGATTTACAGGATTTTCTGAGAAGGTATGAAAGAAACCGCCTAAAGGCATGAGCCAGTTTTCAATGAGGCCTGTTATCTGATGTTAAGCAAGTTACATGATGTAAAATCAGCCACAACCCCTGCCCGACAATTTCCATCCATCCACTCAGCTTTGGCTAGAGAGGCCCTCACTCCCTCATGGGCCTCCGCCACCTGGCCTGTACCCAGGTGTTTCAAAATCCGTTACCAGATCAAACTGATTCTGCAGTTTGTCACCTCAAGCCAGAACACAGTTTCCTCCTTGTGGCCCAGGGCCTGCAGACCTGGGTGCTGAGGCCCCACATTGGGGCTAACTTTACAATCAGCCCCCTGAGCAGAGCCAAGCGTTCCCCACAGGTGTCAGATGGGGATGGTGGTCACTTCTCAAGAGTCTAGGAGCAGCAGACATCTGAGTTAGAGTTGACCTGAGCAGCCTGAAACATCAAGCACTTATTCAGGAGAGGGCTATTATCCTTCTTACACCTCCTGGGGCTGATTGTCAAGGGTTTCATCCTCTACTGGCATCTTTTCAGAAGAGCCAGTGGTAATTGGCTTGGTGGTTGGAGCCCTGGTGGGAAACAGCTAAAATCAGGAACCCCTTGTCATAGGTCAGTAGAGCTCCCTGTGCACTCAAAAGTAATAGCAATGACCACACGTTTACCTCAGACTCTTTAGTCGCTGTTTGTCTTCCTCATTATACTGTCAATTCCCAGGAGAGCAGGGATCCATCTATCTCGTCCCCAGATGTACCTGGAACAGCGTGGGAACTCAAGAAAAACTTGTTGAGCAGGAGAAGGAGTTGGTAATGCAGTGGGTGAGAGATGAAAGCGAAAACCTAAGGTTCAGGGTTGAGGCAGAACTCCCTCCTTTTAACGGTGTAGGACGGATGGGCAAAGCGGACAGCCACGATCTGGCTTGACATTCACACCCCAGGGCAGACCAGAGAAGGCAGAGTGGCCAGGAGTCACAGAGCAGAAACATTTCGGCTCCAGTTGGGGTGTGCAGGATATAAAATGTATGAAACACTCTTTCCCCTAGAGTCTACTTTGTCTGGCATTGGTATAGTTATGCCAACTTTTTTTTGATTAGTATTTGCATGGTATAATTAATCTTCTTACCTACTATCTTAGGATGTTTCTCTTGTTGACACCCTCTAGTTTCAATGTCCTTGTGGACGTTGACCTTCAGAAGGCTGATAGTCTTGGTATATTTCTGTCTCCTACATGGTGAGTTCTGGGAGGGCAGGGGCTGTCTTCTTTGCTTTGGACCCACCCCACCCTCCCATAGCTTCTCACCCAGTGCAGTTGCTTCATGGTCTACCAAAGTGGGGTTGTCTCCCATCTCTCAACAAGGTAGGCATTTCACTCGTAATGAACAGTGAAGCAGAAGTCACAGGACACCAAGACACAGAGATGGGTCACATCTTCCACTTTCCCTTTACTGCATAAAAATCACAATGCCAGGTATCACCTGCTCAGCTTCCAGCCTCTGCCTCCTTGTGCTGTTCTTCACCTGACCATTCACAGCTGTCCTGGGAGGGGAAATTTCCTGCCCCTTTTTATCATTTCACTCAGGACAGAAATGAAAGACCTATGATGACACTGAATTAGTGTTCTCTTACCTTATTTGAAACATTGATGAACCACCTTCTTCCCAATTTTGCATAGAAATATAAATGTCAAGTGTAATTTTCAAGCAGGAGTTTTTGTTGACAATTTAAACACTGTGTCATTATAAGAAAGAACACTCCAAGGAAGGACACTGACACAGTACTTAAGTCTTCCCTCTAGCTGCAAATAGACCAGAAGCACGTGGGCCTTGGTGTAGCTCACAAAGGAAACTTGTTCTATGGTAGCATCTCATGGTCTTTCTAGGGGAGAGACTCACTGACAGCTTCCAATGG